CTTCTCTCAGAAAATGTCCTTCTTCCCCTACAGGTGTGACCCAGAATGCACATACGCCTATTTCCCTCACTGACATGGGCTCACAGGTACGTCAGTAATAAGTCAAGTCCCAGGTTCTTACTGTGAAGTCAGTTGTAAGGCAGGATGTCAAACCCAGTGGCAGTGATGATAACCTCAGGAGGAGGAATGGAGACACTCTCTCTCCAGCCAGGCCACCCCTGCATAATGCTCTATGTACTCAACCTCAGTTTCACACTTGGTAACACAGCAGTACACAGGTTTATGTATCATGTTTATCTTTTGTGATGGCAAATACATATACTGAGTTATACAGATTAAGAATATTTCACAAGCAGTCCCAGCAAGAGTAATTAAAATGTCTGTTTATTCATTGACAAACCTAGTAACATGAACAGAAAATCTTAATTGAAATCTGCCTTGATAGAAACACAGTGCACAATATTAATACCGTGTTCACAGAGGACAGAAACGCTCAGTCACCCTGTGTGCCTAAAGCCACCAGGGCTCTTGAGAAAAGATCCCATTTACTCAAGTGCTTGAACATTTTCAGGACCACATACTAACTCGACACAGAAAAAGAAAGGGGCCGAACAGAACTGCACATTTACAAATGCAAATAATGAGCTATACAGCACTTTACAATAATTACAGTGGTAATTACAGTGGCTCTGTGATATATCCCAAGAGTTGACCAGAGAGTAAAGTGTGAACTGTGCTGCTAGAAAGCCCTTCACTGAAACGAGCTGCGGGAGCTTTCTACCTCACACCCATCTGTCCTGGGGAAGGAGAGGCTATGCGGGGTGATGGAACCCTCACACTGAAATGGAGTTACTTTCTTTTTCGTCCTTCCTCTCTCCACCCACCATGTGACATTCTGGAGTGTAAGGCACGAGAACCTGGCGTGGAGAAAAGAGGTACTCTGAGCTCCAGTGTGCAAGGGAATTCCTGGCTTACATCTTTTGAAACAGATGCTGAAAATATCCTCCTCACCTCTTGTAGTTTCTGTCCTTTAGAGACAGTAAAAGGAGATGGCAGAAGGTTTGCAAAGCATAAAAATACCATGAGAAAAATAGCCCATGAGAAATGTATAATTCTCCAAGGAATGCCAACACTCTACTCAGAGAAGTCAAGAATGATATCATATAAGGAACAACTCTAGTGTTTAATGGACAAAGGCAAAGACATACAAAAATACTCAGTCCTCTTGAAAAACAGTGCATTGGTAGTGATGAGGGACTGCAGACGTGAGCCCCATCCTGACAGTGAAGGAGCCTTACGACTGAGCACCTGGAAGTGGAGGCAGTAGGGGAGGCGCCGACAGCAGGCCCACCGCTCATTCACAGCTCACTGCTGGACAACGTGGTTAATGCCCAAACACTTCAGCTCCCATTTCTTCCCCTCAGCTGTGTTTCTCCTGAATCCATGTGTCTGCAGACGACGTGTGTGAGATAAAAATGCTTTACTCATGAAAATTTCCCCTATATCATGTTGATAAAGTGCTGCTTTTATCAAAGTTTATAAGGGATGGGGGGAGGGGGGAGGTGAGGCGTGTAGAAAGTAAATGAAAACAAAAGGTTATTTTTCAGTATTAAGTACTACTGACCAAACATCTATCTTAGATACTCAAGAGGATCCTTGCTGAATACTGGTCAAGAAGCAACAGAGATCTAAAAATGAAGCTTGGAGCTTACCGCTGACAGCAAGCCAGTGCAGTTGTTCTTCTAGGGTCAGAACCAAGACCCCAGGCCATAGAACATTCCCTTTTGTCTGCCTCAGCTTCTGAAAGGATGGTGGAGGGTCACTCAGAGGCCAGCAGATGTGTCCTGAAGTTATAGCCCCAAATCCAGGCGGTGAGTCATCTCTTCAGTGACGCAAACCCACTTTTAGAAAGCTGCTATCGTTCCTGTCACATAGGTGGTCAGGCCGGGGGACAAGTTAACACTGCAAAGGCAGGCTGGTAATGGAGAAGACTGAAGCGCTTTTTACATTTTAGTCACTTTCTTGGAAACAGCCCAAGAAAGAAGGGAAGCAGGTAAAACTCTTGTTCTGTACAAGGAGATAGAATCCAAGGACCTCACACCTCCTCTTCATGAGAATCAAAGTGACTGTGCTCGCCTCCTGCAGAAATGGGATCTTGGGGCCAAAGTGAAACTGCGTTAACCACTGGGCCAAATGGTCTTTGGATCCCTAGCCTGAATGGCAGCTCACATCTGGGGTTACCGGGACTCCCCAGAAGAACTCTAGATATGTAGTGTTCACTTCTCTGCTGGAGCATGTCCAACCCGTGCAGTGAAGGCGACTGCAACACAAGTGAAAGGACATCAGACTATCCAAGCAGGTAGCTTTTGTCCCTTTTTGCTCTTAAAACTTTCTGAATTAGAGCTTCTCTGACTTCAGTGACATTATCATGGACAGGAAATCTCTCTGATGCAAGCTTCAGTGTCAGATAACCACGGCAGTGCCAGGCAACAGGACTTACATGTGGCGTGAGTGATTGGGGGCTCAGGCAGTATTTGCAAGGAGGACAAGGCCCACAGGAAGCTTGCAGCCCTGGCCTTCATCTCTTTGAGGCTAACGTACTTGTACTTTATGCTTCTAGGTTCAAGGTTCTTCAATTGAATGTGCTGACACGCTAGAAGTGTACAGAGCCCCTCTCCCAAGAGAACACAAAGGTGGTGACAGATCATATCAGAGAGAAAGGGACCAACCACCTAAATAAAACTAAAGTCTAGCCACCCAATTACAAGAAGAGCCCAGAACCTCACGAATCTCTAGCGAGAGGTGAAGTGTCACACAAGGCAAATATGTGGCCCCACTGCCCACGGGACGGAAATGACACAAAGATGAGATGTTTTGATTGTCAATTTTGCTAGAGGTGGAGTCACCCCCTTCAGATTTACGACCAAACAAAACTGTGGGGTTGTCAGAGCCCAGACTTCAGGGATGGACTTTAAAATGTCAAAAGGTAAGTATACGTGCTTCAGGACACCCAGTAAACAAGTGAAGCTCCAGAAGAGTACCATCTTGCCACAGTCAGGAGTATGACCCCTACCTGTGGACAAGATGACATTATAACTCTACAATTTCTTTTGGATTCGATCCCAACTAGATTTCATGTACACAGATGACTTTGGAATGGTGCAGCGCACGGATACCCTTATCTCTAAATCATCTGTTTCCATCTTGGGTCAGTCAGCTGTCTGCTGGTAATATCTGCATTGGCCAAGTGCCTGCTCTCTGCTCGCCTGAGTCCTTCACAGTGCTGGGCACAGCACGTCACCTCCCTCCTCTGTGCCCAAGAGCAAGTTCTGTCAGCTAGTTATAATAAGTACACATCTGCACCAAAATAGCAGAGCCCCCAAGCAGTTCTAATCACATGATCCCTTAATAAATTAAGACCTCCTAAAAAGGTAGACACTGAAGTCAACAATCAAGTAGGTGTGGTCTGGCTGGATAAATGGCAAGAAATATCTGGAACAAAACAAGCCAGTCAGATCAGTGGGTAAACGGAAATGCCACAGCAGGCAGACACCTGAGAATTTTAAGCTGCTCTAATAAAGTGAGATTTATAGACCTATCAGAGCTAATGCTTCTGAGATACCAAGTTAAAATCTCTAACAACAGGTTAGGGCAGCTTATGTCAAGGGAAAATTAAACGTTAAGATGGCACAGTCTGGGATATCTGAGTTTCACCCTTAGAAAATAGAAACACTACTTAATTGTGCAGAGCCCTCGTGGGGCACGCCAAGTTTTCTACTCCAGAGGATACTATGGAGAGAGAGCTCAATGGGGAAAGAAAGGATGGAAAGCAGTCTGCTAGGCTCATGTCACATGCACCCTCCACACTGAATTCTCTGTGTCTGTCCTGTGCCAGAGGCGGCAGCATGGGATTCCAGTAGGTCTCTTGAACTCATGGCCAGCACAGTTCACTCGCTCCCTTTTCTAAAGCAGGAGAAACGTTTGCTGAGCTAGTGGGCCTCCTGCTGAAGGGACAGGTGAGGCTGAACTGATGAGGACAATCAAGATGGGATGATTGAACTCTGACTTGATAGAAGAAAAGCAGCACTGTTTTAATACAAAACCCCGCATTGTTTGGTGTTGGTACTTTCTGAGGTCAGACCCTTTCAGTTGGGAAAAGCAACGCAAAAGGCAACATGGTTTTTCCCTTTCAAATACTGTGGCCTACTTATTTACTCTGCTAAACAAAACCCCTCATTATCGAGATTAAAAAGAGATGAAGAAAAAATAGAGGCAGGTAGCCCTGGCCCTATGGTCTGATAACTGGCTTGGCAGGAAGGCTGGGGGTGGTCCAGGTTAACGATTTATCTCTGCTCCAGACAACGTCCGCATAATGCCTCCCATCAGTGAGGTAGATGGTCATCGTTTTGCTAGAGGTAACAGGGTGCCAACCGCAGCGCAGTGAGACAGGAGAAGGGGCTGCCTGGCTGAAAGGCACAAACTGTCCCGCTGCTCTGCATCAGACATACAGCAACCCACCGAAATGAACAGGTTTCTCCGAGAAGACAGCCCCACAGAGACCGACTCCTGCCCTAAGGCCTGCACACCACCAGCTTCCCTTACTTCAAGACCCAGCATTTGAAATCAGACTGTCACCATAACCCACTTCCACAAGAGGAGCATGTTCCTGTCACCATGGGAATCTGAGAGGGGTGGCAGGACAAGATGAACAGCCCAGAGTAAGTATTAGCAGAAGGGGAAGTGCAAAAGGGAGGAGGAGAAGATGGAAGGACAAGAGAGGTTGCAAAGCAAAAGGTTTAAAAGAAGGCAAAGTTTAAAATTACATCCAGGAGATAAGTCAGGAGGGACAGGATCAGCAGGAGAGAAGCTCTTAAGATAAGATGGGGATGATAAGATGCCTGGTATTACTTCCCATGCAAGTCACTTAGCTCTACATCTTCCTTTCGGCGCTTATGGGTGTAGAGAGAGGTGACCGGGTAGAGCTTGGCCTTGGCCTGGAACCGGTGTCCGGCGATGTCAATCTCATACTCTCCCCGGTTGATGTAATCTGGGGTAACCACCTGCTCTTCTCCAGTGTCCTCAGAGAAATTGTGTACGAAGCCCAGGCAAACGTGGCGTTCCATGGTGTAGCTATAGGCACTGCTGGTGGTCTTGCCAACGTACTGCCCGTTTCGGTAAATGGGCTCTCCCCACCAAGGCCAGAGGTCCAGGTCTGTGTCATGGTCATCCAGGATGAACATAGTGAGGCGTTTATACACCCCGTTCTGCTTCTGCTGCAGCAGGGCATCTCGACCAATGAAATCCATCCCCTAGGAAAGAAAGGCAACACTCAGATGGCGTCTCCTCTCTGGCTCTCAGCATTCTGGGACAGGTCCTCCAGTGTCACTACAGTGAGTGCAGCGCTCTTCCCCACACCCCTGCAGGCTTTGGAGAAATTGACACCTTCAGAGACTAACTCCACAGGTACCCATTTTTCTTTTTTGTTCTATAAACACAGATTTCCATCAAAAGACCACACAGAAAAAAAATATTTAAGATGAAAAATTACTACTCAAAAATACTTGCTAGAATTTTTAGAAAAACAATGTTTTTATATAATCCCAACAAAAAGTCAATGCATATATACATATGCATATGTACAAAACAAGAGCAGGATGAATATATCTATTATAAAAAAGAAAATTGAAATCATTCATATTTTTCCATATTTTCCAAAATGAGTATTTTTGGAAATATTGGGTTGTTGGAAAAGTCATGACGCATTTTTGCAACAAAAAACATAGAAAAAATACGTCATGACTTTTCTGACAAACCAATATAATTATATATTTTTTATAATTGTTCAAGGATACTATAGATTTACTATACTAATATGAAGTAAAAAAAACAAGGAACAATATAGCAAGTGTGTGGTATCCAACCATGCAGGTTAAAACAAGTGGCAAAGGAATTACATACTCATCTGTTCGCACCACCGATGCTTGCTGAAAGGACAAAGTGCTTTGGTAAAGGTGGCAGTGACATGGGGGGGGGCGGGGTCAGAGATGGAAAAGAGACCTCAATGAACATCCTCTTGAACTATGATTTTTTTTAAAAAATCATGTTCATATATTATTTTCAAAAGAAACAAATTATGTAGTTGAGTGTAAGGTGACTAATTTGTACAAATAGTTGTGGCATGTTAATGTATCATAATCAACTCAGAAAAACTCCCCAGAAAGCACTCAGTCTAAAAGAGAGCAGAATGTTCAAAACAAGTGTTGTCCGTTTGTTGTTTGCATATTAAGATGTTTTATCCCATAGATACATTTTTCATGCTAAGGATGTCCTAATTGTCACTGTTCACCTGATGCTATCATTGAGGTCTCTACGCTTACACTTTCGCTTCCACATGAGCTCTTCCTCCTGTTCTAATGCAGATTTCCTGCTTGGGAAGCGGAGTGATGGACACATTACCTTCTCTAATTTCACCCGAGACTCTCGTCCACATTCCAGGGGGCTGGTGAGGGTATTTAAATCCTGACCCCAGAAGGCAAAAAACTTCTCAATTCGGAGACTACGGAGAGCGTAATAGCCAGCGTTCCGGATTCCGTACTTCTGCCCAACACTCATCACTTCATTGTACACATGCAGGGCATACTAGGAAAGACAAAAGGTTGGTAAGCAGCAAACACATTTTTCAACATGGACTGTGTCTGGCGTGCCTGATGGCTGACACTATTAACCTGGACGGGGGGAGAGGGTTGTATGAAATTCTCAGGATGTCTCATCCTCAACAAGCCGAAGTCCTAGACTTAAGTTCTGTGAAAGCAGCATCCATCTCTCTTCAGTCTCTAGGAGAGTGACCTAAGTACTGAATATGGCAATTACTGAATAATAACTCATAAAAGCACTCTTACCACCCAATACCAATCTCAGAACTGCTTCTTCAATAGCACACTCATCCTCCACCAGCTTTGTTCTAGCTCCGGCTTTCTCTTGCCCCAATTCTCCAACCTGGTCCTTCCCTTATATGCTGGCCTGTGCTATGAAACGTGTTACATGTCACTCCAGATGCGCGTGCACAACATCTGATTTTTCACACAGATTATGGCATATCTTAAGAGACCCAGAACAAGTCACAGAGGAGCCAAAAAGTAGCGCTCTCCTACCAGCGTCCCATATCTGGCCTCTCACATTGTTCTTTTCTTGGTTCCAAAAACGTGTAAGTATCAGATAAATGAACAGAAAGTTTTCCAAATTGAAAGCAAATATGCAACACACTGTTAAGTCTAAAGCCCAAGAAACTATTTCTTTAAAAACTGTAAAAAAACAAACAAAAAAAAAACCAGAAATAAGTCAGAGAAAGACAAAATACTGTAGTATCTGGAATCAAAAAAGAAAAACTCAAAGATTTGTGGTTATCAGAAGTAGGGGGTAGGGAGATTGGAGGGAAGTGGTCAAAAGATACAAACTTCCAGTTATAAGGTAAGTACTAATGATGTAATGTACAACATGATAACTATAGCTCACAGTGCTGTATGATACATATGAAAGTTAAATAAATCCTGAGTTCTCATAGCACAAGGCAAAAAAAATTTGCATTTTGTTTTTGTATCTATGAGATGAGATGATAGACACTAAACTTACGGCAGTAATCATTTCACAATATAAGTAATCCATTATTTTGTACATCTTAAAACTTATGTAGTGATATATGTCAATTATATCTCAATAAAACGGAAAAAAAAGAAAATTTGTTGGTGTTATTTGAGTTTCATTGGTATTATAATTCTTTATCCTGTCAATGTATGTTTCTCTATAAATTGCACTACTGCAGCTGAACAGTCATCTACTGAACAGACCACTGTGGTCAGGAAAACTAAACGTGGAAAAAGAGAACAAAGCTATTGCCTATAACACAGCCTGTGTTATGTGTGTGAAAGACCTGGATTAGTAGAGGTGGGGGGAGGAGACTGGCAGGGAGAGGAGAATACTAAGAGCCAGTGTCTGGTGCGTTTGGTACTTTTCTGTCTCAAGCTGAATACTCTGTACTTGAGGTAAGAGGAGGCAAAGGAGGAAAGATTTACTTAAAGCAGGTGATAGTCTTAGGCTAAATGAGAAGAGCAAAGGGAAAAGTGGATCCCTAACATTTACTAATTTTCTCACTAAATGCTGGGGACTTAAGTGTGAAGAAAACAAAAATCTACCATCTGCCACTATGTTTTAGAAGACATCTCAGAGACAAGTATAAGCGTCTTGAGGACAAAAGCCAGTTTGAAAAGAAGCCAGGCATGGCACAGATTACCTCCTGGACTCATGGAAAATCACAAGAGTGGGACCAGTCCAGGAAAGTCAGAGGCATAAAGAAGGGCTTCCAAGCAATGAAGCTGCTAGAAGCCACAGAGCCTTCCCTCCTGATGGGGTCTGACCAATCAACGACATGGGCACTCAGGTGGTAACGCCTGCATGACCGTAGGGCACTTCAGAATTTGTCTGTCTGTACAGGCAGAACATCTGTCTGTACAGGCAGAACATAGCAGCTACATTTGTATCAACTCTTCTTAAATCATGAATACTCTATCTTAATATTATATTTCTGAGTGTGGAAAGGCAGAGTTTCATGGGCTGATAAATACATGCTTCATTCAATAATTAAAAGAAAGCCTAAGACTATGAGTAATATGACTAATGCCTGTCACAACTGGGCAGGGAAAGAAACTGTAGGAATAAAAATGTGGAGAAGAAAAATTTACTGTTTGTATATGGTAAGAGTGAACCCTGGAAATTACAGAGAATCAACTAAAAATACAATAATTTAGTAAGGAATTAAAGAATTAATATACAGAAAAAAGCTTTCATAAATCATAATTACCTAGAAGAGAACAGAAGACACCCTTCCCATTCACAATAGCAACAACAAAGTATTATTCAAATAAACTTAAGAAATGTAGAACATCTATGTGAAGAAAACTTCAAAATACATCTGAAAGTCACCATGAAAACTTGAAAAATAAAAGGCATACTTTATGATATTCAACACATAAGAATGTCAATTCTCCCTAATTTATAAATATAACAATCCCAAAAAATAGGGTGTTGTTTTAACTACATGATTATAGAGTTTACAAGGGAAAATAAGGAAACAGGAATTGTTTTTTTCCAGTTTTCCAAGCTATGAGGAAGAAAAAGTACTTGTACATGTTAAAATATATAATAAAGATTCAATAATTAAGTGTGATCCTAGACCATAAATAGATAAACCAACAGAACAGAGTAAAACAGTCCAGAAATAAATCCAAATACATATAGGAATTTTGTATCTGATAAAGGTAGAATCTCAAATCAATTGATTATCCATGTGGAATAATTTGATCCATATCTCATAAAGTACACCAAGAGGTACTGTGAAAGGATGGAACATTTAAGTACTAAAAAGCAAAAAACCCCCATAAATAACACAAACTATAAAAGCATCAGAAGAAAACAAAATTTTATAGCCCTGGAATGGGGAAGCCTTCTTCTCTGTAGCAAACTCTAGAAGCCACAAAAAACTTTTTAACTACATAAAACATTTTTTTTAATTTCTGCAACACAGGAAACATTTTCCATAATAAAAAGTAAAATTTAAAAATCCTTCTACAGGGCAAAAAACAACAAATCAAAAGACAAATGGCAAACTGGAAAAAAATTTACAACTCAACAGTAAGGACTGTCTGATTCAGAGAATGTCTACAAATTGGCAAAAAAACCAATTATTCAGTGCAAACAGACCAAGGATATGACCAGAACTCATTCATGCAACATGTATTAAGTATGTACTATGTGCCAAGTACTTCTCCAGGTGCCGGGGATATAAAAGTTAAAACAGACTAATATCCCTGGTCCTCAGGGAACTTAACATTTACACAGGGGTAGTCTGTTGAACAAAATAAAATGTATTTTAGGGCCAGCCGAGTGGCACGATGGTTAAGAACTAGCTTGGGACGCCAGAGGGCCCCGGTTCGGATCCCACATATGAGGGCCAGTGACATGAACAACAGCTCAACCTGGAGCTGGGATGCCATGAGTCAACGGCGTAGGCTGCAGCCCCTGTGGCAGTGGGTTGCCATAGGCTACCGTATGTAGCCAGCAGCTGCAGTGAGCGGCCGTCCAGAAGCTGGCGACTGATCTGCCTCACCTGGAAGAGCACAATGATGGTGCCAACTTGGGCCAGTGAAGCAACGTCCTCCACAAACTAGACTGAAGAACAAAACGACAGCAACTTGTCTGTTCCCCTTCCCCCAATTCCCCAGCACTGTTCCCCTCCCTCCAATTCCCCAATAAAAATCTTAAAAAAAAAAAAAAGTATTTTATTAGACAGGTGGTAAGCACTATGGAGAAAAACCAAGAAAGGGCAATAGGGAGAACTGGGGGTGGGGTTCATCAAGAAAGTGATGTGTGAATAAGACCTGAAGCAGGTATGGCTGTGATCTGGGGTGCAGCTATCTGAGAGGACACACCAGGGGAGGAGAAGAGCAAAAGTAAAGCCCTGAGGCAGAAGCAGGCTGGCATGTTCAAAGACTGGCAGGGGGTGAGAGAGGCAGAGAAGACATGTCTGCTGAGATCAGAAGAGAATGGGTGGAGAGCAGGTAGGCAGGCTGCAGGTCCTGTCCATGGTATTTCACTTGGAGGGAGATGGGTTTTGAAAGTAGCTCAGTCTCAAACACAAGGGAAATTAAAACCACTGACAAACGATTTTGTACTTCTCAGACTAAAGTCTGACAACTCCCTGTGCTGGTACATGCAGTAAAAAAAAAAAAGACACTTTACGCTGCAGCTTTTTATCATTACAAAGGAATAGAAACACCATAAATGTGTATTAGTACCAGACTGGTTAAATAAATTATGATTCAACTATATGATGGAATTATACACCACTATTAAAAAATAAAGGACGGGCCAGCCGAGTGGCACGTTGGTTGAGAGCTGGCTTGGGACGCCAGCTCTGAGCAGTAAGGCCCTGGTTTGGATCCCACATGGAGCCAGTGACACTGCCCTCTACAGCTAAGATGGTGAACAACAGCTCGACCTGGAGCTGGGCTGCTGTGAGTTGCCGGCGACGGCCTAGGCTGCAGCCCCTGCTGTAGTGGGCTGCCATAAGCTACCGTGTATGGCCGGCAGCCAGCTGAGCGGCTGGCAGCAGGTGTGAGCTGCCAAGAGCCGCTGTGAGCGGCCATCCAGAGGCCGGCGACAGATCTGCCTCACCTGGGAAGAGCACAATGATAATACCAACGTGGACAGGTGAAGCGACGTCCTATACAACTAGACTGAAGAACAAAAGGACAGCAACTTGTCTGTTCCCCTCCCCCAAATTCCCAATAAAATCTTAAAAAAAAAAAAAATAAAGGAAAAAAGAGAGAAAGCTCTTTCTTTTTAGGCACTCATAGATCTCTAAATTGTTAAGAAAAAAAAAATCAAGATGAAGAATAGCAGTATGCTTCTGTTTGTTTCTAAAAAGGGAGTTAAGAATATGTCTTTGAACTTGCTTTCATACACACAAAAATGTCTGACATGACATACAAAGAACTAACATCATTGGTGGTGGTTGGTAGGAACTGGTCAGGTGGCACTGAATACTTTGGGATTTATTTTTAAATCATGTGAATGTGTTACCTATTCAAAAACAGTAAATAACGTAGTATAAAATGTTAAAATCTCTTTAAGGCAACCTACTCAATTACTAAGGCCCAATCAGATGTGCTCGGCAGGTGTGGGACAGCCCGCACACCTTCCATCTGTGCGTCTCACCTCTATGGGGATATACAGCATGAAGCCCGGCTCTCCTGTGTGAGTCATGCTCATCACCCGGATCCCGTTGGCATAGCCCACGCTCATCTCCTGTGGAAACAAAGGGACATGGACATAGTCAGCACCATCATGCCTCAGGGGAAGTGGGCACTCAAGTGTTTGTTAAAGGAATGGATGCCTGAGGTAAACCCCTTTGACCCTAAAGGAGAGACACGAGTGAAAGAATTTCATCCTCAAAATGGTTTGTTTCCAGGTTTTGAGGTCCTTAGGAATACAGCACAGCCTTTACCATATCTCCTCTCATGAATATCACCATTTCAGGCGTGCTAGCTAAGCTACTGGTGGGAAGTAGAGGCAGTCTTTGATAAGCATGAAATATTTCTTTTGCAAAGTCCTGCTGAAGATTTTTTAGTCAAGGGTGTCATGAGCAATGAGGACCAGACAAATGTCTTCTCTGGGGCACTCGGCAGGCAAGTCCTGGGCACGTGCCCACAAAAGATGCCTGATACCCACCGAACGCGGTTCACTGCTACCCTGGGGTCAGAGACCAGGCTTCTCAAGTTCAGAACATGTTCACAGCAACTCAGTTACCTAACGGGCTCTGATTCCATCTCTGTACCTATAAAGGAAAGTGCTAAGTCCCAGGTGGCATTAAAGCACATTTCCACAAGAAGCCCAACACCACGTGGTTCTCTAGATGCACATATATGGATCACTCCTTCAAGAGGCACAGAAAGTGCTGTGAAGGAGCCTGCTAATGGCCAACAGTGAGTTTTCTGTTGCCCTCACTCTGCCGTGTAGAAAAAGGAAAACTACAATCAGTTAGTAGGTAGATCCCAACTTTGGTTTGAACTTCAAAGAGCCTCCATCAGTAACTGTCCCCAAGGTGCTTGGTGACTGACGTCTGTCCGTTAGGACCTCTAATCGGCCACTTGCTAGAGAGTATTCAATTACCATTTCTTTTGTTCAGTTACAATTGTTTTACTCCACTATTGCTGCCAACATAAGAAAGAAAATTATGTAAGTTGTTAAGAGACTTACCTAAATCATTTCTTAACCTGAAGATGCCACATACACAGAAGTTATTCTGTGTAAGGAAAAAGAGGAAATACTGCATGGAAAAAAGGGACCTAACCTTGACTGGCATTTTTGGGGCATCAGTGTCATAATCCTATAATTTAGGATTTTAATCTAAGAAAACAAATATATAGAACTGATATTCAAAGACATTAAATCCACTTCAAAGATATCCTAATGCTTATTAAGCAAGGAGACCTTGAAGGGTGAAAAATAAAGAAATGAATTTATTTTGTCATTTTGTCTGCTTAATAAAAATCGGAACATGCTCTGTGTGTGTTAATGTCATAGTAAGAACATGTAATTGCCATCTCTACAAAAGAAAGATTCCCCACCCACTTAAAAACTAGAACTTGACTCTCACCCACCTTGCAAAACAGACTTGGGAAGTGTTCTGAAGTCATAGGGGCATAGGACAACTCGGACAGCACATCCACCGCTCGAGGACCAATCAGATTGAGGGCTAAACGGAAAAGAACAAGAGATGTTTGGCCACTCCAGGTGAACAGCTGAACCAGTGGGAAAGGTTTGTTGTGGACTTGCTCACTATGGCCAGGCCTGGGTGGCAAGACCACAAAAGCATCCCTTTGCTTAGGCAAAACAAGGATAGACAGAGCACCCTGATTCTGGTTAATACACCTCTCCTGACAGGCCTGCTAAATGCAGCTGACTGCAGGCATCAGAGAGCCTGGCGAGTGTGTTTCCTCTTCCTGGGACACAGGAAGGCAACATTCCATAGCCTCCTTGGTAATTACATGGGACCAAGACACCAAGTCCTGGCTACTGGGATAGGAGCCCACTTCCAGGGCCGGTCATAATCCCCCTGCACAATTCCTATTCCCCTCCTCTTCCCAGTGTAGCATCATGATGGAAAAGACCCAAATCCCAAATCAGGACCAGGAGAAGAGTCCTGAGGAGAGCTGCCCAACCACCCTGGATCCTGTCATGTTTGAGACAGCAGTTTGTGCTAATTACACATCAACTACCCTCATATGGGCTGGACTACAAACTTTGATTCAACAGGATTCTGTAGTTTGCCAATCTGGTAGCAAGAAGTTAATCATATTTGCTGCTATGAATTGAGAACGAGGGCCTGGAGGGGCGAGGGGCAGGAGTCAGGTAAGTGGTGGCAAGGGGTTAGACCTGGAATGGAGGCAGAAGAAGGGGGCTGCTCCCCTGACAGAACTGCTGAGATAATCAGGAATTTTAAGTATCCTTAAAAATTATTCACTCATAAAAAATAAAAACTAAGGGGAAATTTTGAAGAAAATAAATACTTGGGCAATAAAGATAAAAATATTTTTTAAATGATTTACTCATTCAACAAAAACTGAAGCATTTACTCATTCCATGCTTCACTGAAAACATAAGGACACATTCAAGATCAATGTTCTATGACCAGAGAGCCTCTCCCACACTTCTAATTCTGACAGTCATTTTTGAATGTCATGTACACAGGCAAATGGAGAAGAGAAACCTGGACTGGCTGGCCTTGTTCAGCTGACCCCAGAGGCCACCTTACCAGTGTATTTCCAGGTGACATCCTCCAGGAGCAGGTTGCTGTCTTTCGGCATGTGTTTCTTAAGCCAGGCCCAACAGTGGATCTGCTGGTCGGTCGGAGAAATCATGAAGAAACTGGAAGTGAGAAGCAAAAGTAATCAAAACCAGGCACTAGGAAAAGGATCCGGAAGCAATTAAGTTCTCAGCTAGTTCCAAAGCAATGAGTAGAACACTGGCAAACAAGCTCTTAGCTTTCAGGGAGGGCCAGTGGCACGTAATTCTAGGATCCACCACATAAGGACAAACAGAAGACTCCGGCTTCCTGGTACTGCCAAGAAATTACACAGACCTACTAACCAAAGAGAAGGTGTCTTCTCCCAATAGGGTAACTAATTTTTCCACATCGAGTTTTACATAGTCTGGTGAGTTTTAGTCTTTTTTTTCTGGTGATTTCTTTTTGTACTGGGCTGCTAATGAGCTGGCCATTAAGAGAATGAAATGTTTTTGTCCTTGGTATAATTATGGCTTCCTGGAAAAGTGAGCTGAGTGCTCAGCTCTGCCACAGTGCCCTTAAGGAAGCAGTGTGCTGGAGGGAGCAGGGCGGGCTGGCGGCTGACCTCACCTGCGCTTGTTCAGGCGTGCTATGCTGCAGTCATTTTCATACCCTCCACCCTCGTTGAGCATGCCGGTATGCACGATGTGGCCCACGGGCACGTCCAGGTCATTGGAGAAGAGGTACTGTAGAATTTCCAATGCCTGATCTCCGGTGGACTGTAGGGTTCAGGAACAAAGCAGAGAGAGCACAAGAGCCATTTGGCTAGGTAACACGGCCTGATGAGCAGTACCACTTGCTGAGAAAATTCAATGAGCTAGTACTCGGGCAATAATATTTGCACATTTACGCCACTGCCAGAAGCTCCAGAGAAAGCTAGCAATTGATTATAATGATAAATGGGCATCTGCAAGCAGATTAAAAACCCGAAACACCTAAAAATTCAGAAAAATGTTGTAATAAAGCTGACATTAAAATATACCAGATTTCTTACAGAATCAGTTTTGAAGAGACAGATGAAAAAAGAAGGCATTCAACAAATATGCAGTTTCTTAGTATGTTTTATTGGTTCCCAAATACTTACTGTTATTTCAAACTTTGTGAAAGAAGACATGTCAATGACACACACAGCTTCCTTACAGCACTTGACTTCAGACTCCACAATGTCAAACCAGTCTGGCTTATAGAAAGTCTTGCTCTGCTCCAATGCCAGGAGGTCTGCAGAACAGAAAAAACAGGAGCGGAAAGGAAGGGATTTATATTGGGGAGTCTCCCTGTATAGTTCAATACAGTATAGTGGCCTTTATTATTTATTCTTCCATGAACACATTCTAGCTACATACATTTAAAAATAAGTTTTATTATTCTCAGGGCAAAAAAAAAAAAAAAATGAGAATATGCCTTTTTACCCTTGTCTGGTGGCACAAAATACTTTGGCCTCTCGAATCCATGTTTCTCCATCCACCTGGCTCCTTGTGCATCCAGCCGGTCATAGAGAGGAGAAGTGCGTAACTGCCTCCCTGTCTGGAAGTCCCACCGGGGAACCTTCAGATCATACAGCAGAGCTAGAGCAGAAAATAACGGTCTATGAAAGCCCAAGCCACACAGCTACCCAATATCCGCTAGACCCTAGAGCTGCTCCTATTCAAAAAAACATCCTTCCAGGCTAATGGAGCCTCATTTGCCAAACAGTACCCATTATAACAGGCATGCTCCAGGAGAAAGAATAATATTGCAAGAGCTGGTATCATCCCTCCATAGTTATATAGCTATGAGTCACATAATGGCTGTAGGTCTCTGTTCACAATTAATGTTCCAAATTAGTAGGAAGAAACAATAGGAGAAAGTTCAGAGTTCTAAACTTTGCTAAGCTCCATAGCAGAGATGAGGTTATATTTAAGTATAATAGATCACAGGTAGTTACAAAGTTGATTCTTTATAGTGCCTGTGTTGTTGGGATCTCAGACCTGTATAGACATTTCCTCTCTAATATTTAGCCCACTTCTGAAGTGAAAGGGCACATAGCATACCTTGATTTAGTGGCTCTGAAATCTGACAGGTTGCATAGTACTGTCCCAGTGACATTATTCACATAACAAAGCTAGAGTCAGCATTCAATTCTCCTAATGTCCAATCTGCAACAGCAATGAGTAGAAACAGCCAGAAAGAGTGTGATCTCTAGTCCTTTCCAAAGAGAAGACCTGACCTGACACCATTCTAGACAAGAGGTATGTCATTGTAGTGAGGGAGTTTGGGAAGCTGCATGGGCTTCCTTATAATGTGACAATTTGTCAGTCTCTGGTGTTTTACTTTCTACTTTCTCCTTCCCCATTTTCTATCATGTCTGCAATTTCTGTTTTATAAAAATCACACAAGGCCACCAAACACGTCATATCATCAAGGAGAAATTCAAGCTCAATTATGACTTGCACAGGTTCTGAAATAACTATGGATGGCGAAATAGAGACTTAATAGTTCAACATTTTAACCAAAATATTTGCTAAAAATAAAGCAGCTCAGCAGTTACACATACTGCTGCCAGGTCCTGTATCTCCCATGGATATGAGTTCTCTGTCACAGGCCAAAAGTGACAATACAGGTGTTAAAGGTCACCCAAATGCTCATCATGAACGAACCTCCAGCTATTAAACCAGCAGTTCATCTCAATCAAGAACGGTGGTCACTGCCAATGTAGGAACTTCACTCCTGAGCATAAATGTGCCCAAAATATTTAGATATGTTTTGGCAAAGTTTGAGAGTAGTTCCTCAGTACAGGAAAAGTGAAATTACAATCTGATTTGGTTCAATTGCTGATACAAAAGCTGTCTCGAAGGGTTTACTAGAAAATAAATCAGAGACAAGGTAGCGTAACAAGTTCCATTAAAATGCAGAGGTCAACTCTTCAAAGTTGGAGGGAAGCAAGAACACGAACAAAGAGCAGGAATATATGTTTGGTATTTACATGAGAAGTGGTTTCCTAGCTTGCCAGCATATAATGGGTTAATGACAAGAATCACTTTGAGAATAACTTGGCAAATTCTATGCCTTGGAAAGCAAATCACGATCTCAAAGACCAAGTAGGAAACGAGAGCATTCACTGTGACATAGGTTTTTTTCAGGCACAGTGGAAGGCAGGCAATGCCGGGAACATACAAGAAGCTGCTGCATGGAGTCTGACAGGAATTACCACCTGTAAGTCCTGCTCTATTTTCCTGTTCTGTGATGTAAACAAGGTACAATATACAAAGGAAAACATTCTATAAATATCGCATGGGACAATGCCCCCAACACAGGCCTGAAACAGTCAAACATCAGAAGCCCAAGTTGAAGCAGTTAATAAAAAACAGGAAAAATCTGCCCCTCGGAATGATTGAGCAGGCTGAGTAAGACAGCTGCAACTAGACGCCACTGGGATAAAGCTTCACTTACGCATGACTTCCATGACCCGGTGGCGCAGAAAGGTGCGGCTGCTCTGGAGGGCTCCGAAACGTTTCAAATCCAATTCCCAGACATTTTCTGAGGGATAACCATGCACCATCCATTCAGCGAGGTACCTGTTTAGATGGAAGGAAGATGTTGGGCCTCAGATGTGATACTCTCAGCACTGTACCACAAATCAAGAACCAGCAGAATCAAAGATCCTGTCTTATCAGGGACTGGATGAGCAATTCTGAGCAATTTCCTTAACTTTTCTGGAAGAAACAAACACGAACCCATCTACTGCTCTCACAACACCGTTAAGAGGATTTTAGCTCTAATAACAAGAATTCCTAGAAACTGTTTAAGACACATCTCTGAAGAAATAAGACGAAAATATACACACAAATATACTCAATACATCCAATGGGGTTTTTTGTTGTTTTGGGGTTGGTTTTTGTTCTTTTAGAACAGTCACCTCAGGAGGTTACACAGTTATCTGATCACATCTCAGCTCCAAATGTTTCTGGTAACTCCACTTCCATAACTGTTTTCAGAGTCATTCTACAAGTCACTCAAGAAAAATGCCCTCCAATTTAAAAATATTTTTTAATTGTGGAAATACACATAACATAAATTGACCATCTTAAACCTTTTTAAGTGTAAAGTTCAGTGTCAGTAAGTACACTCACATTGCCGTGTGACCACCACCACTATCCATTTCCAGAACTCTTTACATCTTCCCAAACTGAATTCTTTATCTATTAAGCAGTCACTCTCAATTTCCTACCCCCAGCCCGGACAACCACCCTTCTACTTACTGTCTGTCTTCATGAACTGGATGACTCTTAAGTATCTTATATAAATAAAATCACACAGTATTTGTCCTTTCATGACTGGCTTACTTTTACTACCTACTTTTTAAATAAAAACTTGTAATACTCATCATGATCATCTACTCACTCACCACACTTGGAAGTTTCCAAATTCAAACACTCACTAAAAGGACCCACATTTGTTACAACTGACAGAGTACACAAGAATATCCATCCTACAGGATCAGTGCCTGACTCTAAAAGAGGAGTTCCAAAACCATTGTGCATAATGACATTTCAGGAATATAGGGAGAGCCTCCCACGGTGATTACTTTCAAGGAGACACTCTCAAATTACATGTACTTGTAACTTCTTATTAACAGATTAAGTGTATTACATACCATATTAAAAAGTAATTCTAGAAAAGATATAGGCCAGCAAGCTGAGTGAGTGAGAAAGACTTACTTTCCAGCTCCTCCACCAAACGAAAGGCCAGCAGAGTTCATTCCTGCCAGGACAAAGTAGCCCCGTACCAGAGGAGACCCGCCCATGGTGCACCTCATGTCTGGTGTGAAGGTCTCAGGGCAATTCACCAACTTCATGATCTCCAGAGTCTCCAATTCTGGCATCCTGCGCAGGAGGGAACTCAACAGGGGCTCTGAGCAATAAAAACAAACCCAGACGGAGTTCTCAGCTTCAGGGAATTAAAACACTTTCAACTCCTATACTTTTCTATTCCCCCCC